GTTATTATATGAAGGCAAGCAAGGTAAAGCCTTGGCAAATTCAATTTTGAATGATTTTCCAACTGAGACAAGGCCTTAAAGGTAGTGTGATTCAACTTATTCTCTAATCTTTATTGATGATTTTATTCCGTTGTTTAAGGGATTCTCTCTGTATTCCTAATTATATTTGATTGTCAAAGATCTAAAGAGCAATGGATAGATAAATCACGACCAAAAGCTGCAGGGAAATGGATTTATAACTGCTGAATCTTTTCATTCTTGAAACTCTTGGTTGCCATCAATGATTCACAAATGATATAAATTAGAACACAAAATAAATAGCCTCACAGAATGCATGCTGGCTTCTGTGGACAGCATGCTGGTGGAAAAAAAAAAAAGGCCTGTCCCAAATTAGTAAATGTGGCTTGCTAAAAATCCACAGAATTAAGTATATTTTACAACTTTAATACACATTCCAGGGCATAATGAAGTAGATTTGCAAATAAAACACACACACATACAGTTTAGAAGGCCTTATAAAAAAACCAAAAGATATATTACTAACATCACGATTCATCAAGTGGGAATAGATTATTTCTACTTACTTAGATGAACATAAAGCTATTCATTACTAAACATTAAAAAGAACATTTTCATTACTAATGTTAACAGTGGTGCAATCAGTTTCAATACATTCAACAACCGGAGACATTTGAATATCTATAAAGAAACCACTATAAATAACAGATTCCCCTCCAGTAAGAATCAATTAAATAGCAGCCTTATCCTCTAAAATAAAAAAGACAAATGAAGAGGATAGAATAAGGAAATAAGCATGGATTATATGAAATACAATAAAATATTATTCTAGTAATACTTTATGATAAACTGTGTGATAGGAAAATGTACTACACCTGTAAAGAGTTAGTCTTGGAAACCCACAAGGGCAGTTCTACCTTACTCTGTCGGGTCACTAGGAGTCAGAATGGTCTCTTTGGTAGAGAGGTTTAACAAGAGCTCTGGTGGCATAGCTCTAGGCACTGGGCTGCTAACCATCAGGTGGGCAGTTTGAAGCCACAAGCGCATCACAGGAGAAAGAGGAGACTTTCTGGGAAACTCACAGGGGCAGTTGTATCCTGTCTCCTAGGGTCCATATAGAGGGATTGTTAGTACGGCTTTAGTATTTATTGACATTCAGCTGGGTACAAAACAGGCTTTAAGGAGGCTAGCAGCTACCTCACTTGCTGGCATGAAGTCCATTCCAATTCATATAAGGTTGCTATGAGTAGGAATCAGTTAGAGGGCATTGAGTTTCTGAGCAGCTGTTATTGGAATAATAATGTATTGAATTCTTGTTTCATTTGTAATACTTCAGCTAAAACTTTTTAAAGTGAATTTTGATTAAATAGTACTATATGGGATGTGGATTTTATAAGCTTGAAAGAGGAAGAGGAATAGGTGAGAAAGGCTAGAACAAAGGAATGTGAGAATCACGGTAGTACAGTAGAATAGTGACAGCATGATTTCTGTGGGTAGTGGCTTGAATGGGGAGATAGAGTTGGGACTAAGTATTCAACAGTCCCAAACGGTCACCTTTAAGTTCTAGACAGACAAGTAGCAATAGCTAGTCAGCGAAAGGAGAGAACACCCTTTAAGAGCAACAAAAGATCATTTGATCTTTAGAAGAACAGTGAGGACTATTCAGAACCTCCTTGATAGTACTGAAGATATTCAGTTACATAATCATTTTTCAGGGAAAATTTTAATTGTCAGAAGACCTTATTCTACCTCTCTTACCCATGAAGAAGTAGTGTGGGGGCCACTTGGCACCTCCTCTGGCTACACAAGGAGGAAGAAGACAGTCCAAATTCACCCAAAGAGAATTCCTATGAGACAGGGGCCTGACATGCTTTCATCCTCCATTCGATTCTGATACTAGCAATCCCTCCAAAGGCACTCTACTTGTCTGCTGAGTTTGATCATCTGCGACAATGGCCACACAGAATTCCCCGCCCATATTCGAGATGACTGGGTTTATTAAAGAAGTTAACAGGTTATAGGTCAGGATCTAAAAATATTAAAGATGCAGGACAGTTTTTTTGTCCCCAATTTCTCTTCTTAGTTGACAAGGCACATCTCTTTCAGGTCTTTGGTTTCTCAATTTTGCAGCCCATTGGACTCTTCCCATGGGACAAGTGCTACAAAGTTCCTTCAGCACTGATAAATTTGCCAAAGGGCATCTTACTCTGCAAGCTAGCCTCCTGCTCAAAGCCTTTCTTCCTCCTACGGAGACTGGGAAGTCCAAAGCTCTGTCTAAAGATGGTAACCTCTAGAGCTGGTCCTTTTCCATGCAGGGATCTTGGTCATGCTTCACTCAGGGCTGTTCAACCTGCTGGTTGTGGCTTTTTCTGTCCCAGCTTTTGAAATGGCTTTCTTTATACTCAGCAGAATGAAAAAAGAGACCAATCACTAAGAGTCAGAGTCCTCTGTACCTCATTTGCATGCTCCCACCCAGTCATTTGGTGAGAGTTACAAAGAGCATAGATAGAAGTGCCCTACCAAGCACTTTTACTTCATCACATACATGGAGTGTCATTTTATTCTCATTTAAAGAAATGGAGGCGCCCAGAGCCCCCGAGTCAAAGCCAGTTCCTGTTCCATCTGAGCGGTCGCCCGTCGCCTCATTCTCTTCCAACATGACAGATGCCACTGTGTCCTTCGCCAAGGACTTCTTGGCAGGTGGAGTGGCCGCAGCCATCTCCAAGACGGCAGTAAGCGCACATCAAACGGGTCAAGCTACTGCTGTGGGTGCAGCACGCCAGCAAGCAAATCACCGCAGATAAGCAGTACAAAGGCATCATCGACTGCGTGGTTCATATCCCCAAGGAGCAGGGAGTCCTGTCTTTCTGGCGTGGTAACCTGGCCAATGTCATTCGATACTTCCCCACCCAGGCTCTCAGCTTTACCTTCAAAGATAAATACGAGCAGATCTTCCTGGGTGGTGTGGACAAGAGGACCCAGTTCTGGCGCTACTTTGCAGAGAACCTGGCATTGGGCTGTGCCGCGGGGGCCACATCTTTGTGCCTTGTGTACCCTCTTGATTTTGCCCGTACCCATCTAGCAGCTGATGTGGGCAAAGTTGGTGCTGAATAGGAGTTCAAAGGCCTCAGTGACTGCTTGGTTAAAATCACCAAGTCTGATGGGATGAGGGGCCTGTCCCAGGGCTTCCACGTGTCTGTGCAGGGGATGATCATCTACCGGGCTGCCGACTTCGGCATCTATGACACCGCAAAGGGAATGCTTCCGGATCCCAAGAACACCCACATCTTCGTCAGCTGGATGATTGCACAGTCCGTCACAGCCGTGGCTGGGTGACTTCCTACCCATTTGACACCGTTCTCAGCCGGATGATGATGCAGTTGGGGCGCAAAGGAACTGCCATCATGGACACCGACACCAGCACGCTGGACTGCCGGAGGAAGAAGGCTCGGATAAAGGGAGCAAAGCGTTCTTCAAGGGCGCCTGGTCCAAGGTGCTCGGAGGCATGGGTGGTGCCTTTGTGCTGGTCTTGTACGATGAGATCAAGAAGTACACGTAAGTTATTACCTAGTGGGTTTCCCCCGTGAATGGGCATGTTGTATTATATAACACATCTCAAGCATTCTTGGCAGACGGACGGTTGGCTGTCTAGACCAATGGCAACTACCTACTGGTTGAAAATGGGAAGCAATAATATGCATCTGACCAGTTTTCTCTTAAAGCCATTTTCACGATGATCATGATGATGATGGGACTCAATATTTTTTATTTCAGTCACTCCTAATAAATAAATAAATTTGAAGAAATAAAAATATATCTGAAACACACATAAAAAAAGAAAGAAAGAAATGTAGGCTCAGAAGTAGGTATTGTACTAGGACTGCCTGAAGGTAAAGCTCATTATGCTGCCCTAACAGGTAACATTTTTCATTATCTCAAGCACTACTGTATCCTTAACAGCTAATGATGGAGAAATGGGATATGAAAAGTAAACTCAGAGTAGTTCTTAAAAGTTAATAAGTGATACAGAATACTATGTTTCAGAAGAATACTGAGGATGGGTGTTATAGAAATTGTTAGACTAAATTAGTTTTTATTAAGATGGAAAAGTTAATTGCAGAAATGTATTTAAATGCTGTTAGGGAAAAATAATATCAAAGAAATACTCTAAAATTTATAACAATAGTCACCTTTAGGGAGCAAAAAATATTAATTACTTTTCTCTTTTTAAAACTTGTATTAAATTTTGGCTGTTTGTTGTATGCCTGTGCTGTAAATGTACTCTGTCATGAAGTTCTAGCACTTTTTCAACTACGAGGCACAGTATATGAAAGCACTGTCCTCTAGAACACATCGTTCCTGACAGTAAAGAGCGTTCCTCGGTGCTGACCCACAAGAATCTAAGTTTATTCTTGTACGAAGATCCTGAGTAAAATAAAATACCTCAGCTCTCTTAGAAGTCAACTTTCTTCATCTTAACCCTACACTGTAGAGTCGTTGAGGAACATACATGAAAAGGTCTTTATGGCCATGAGCGTGTACAAACTCAACATGGTAGTTGCTTGTATTATATTATTCTGTTCATCATCATCAACTGTTATAATTTATCATAAAGACAAATCTGTATAGTTCTTCAAGAAGCCCATGTCAACATCCCCAACCCATCTCTTTCTAAGGTCCTCTAATCAATAATCTAACAAGCAAATATACTTCAGAGTTCTCCTCTAAGTATAAATTTCCCTTTTAGCCTAACAAAAATAAGAATAAGAAAATATTAAATCTGATTTTCTTTAGCTTGTACAACAGCCTGCATGATCAGGTGGTTCAAGGGTTTCTTTAAGAGCGTACTCATAAAGTGGAAGGTCTTGCTTCATTCTTTAAAACAGTATCTTGGAATTAAAGTCAAACTATAAATTATTTTAATCTTGGGATGCACTATAACTTCTAAACATATTCTTCAAAATGATTCAAAAATAGCTTACCTCGGCTTGACAGAGTGCATGAAGACCTTGTAACACCAAAGCTGCAGGAGTAGCTTGATCAGATTTAGTGCAATCATTTAACACCTGAGATATAGCTGCCAACATATCAGCACCATGTTGGTATGGCCTATAAAAAACAACAGTTTACAAAGAGAATTAAAACCAAAGAGCTATCACTACACCTAGGTCATTTGTTTGAAGATAAAACACCACTGTCTTTCTTTACCCTTATGTCCAATAAATGTTGACCCTCGGATCTTAACATGATATTAATATCTGCAAAAATCATATCATGGACATTTTACCTATATTTACTAACTTTCTATATAGAAATACAATTTCTAAAAGACACTCTAACTCTTCAAGTTGCAAATCCTGTGGTCTGAATAGAGAAAAACCTCAAGTCAATAATAATGGCTCAAACAAATGACGTCCCTCATTGAGGTTATCATTAACCATTGAGTTATCCCTGTCCACTGTTTTCTTAGCAGCCAGGTGCAGACTTTAAGAGCAGGGGCTGGGGAGGAGAGGATGGTTTGTGGTCTTAGTAACACTACCAGCTACCATCTTCTATGTGGTTATACCTACCACCACAATAATGACAGTGAAGACAATATGCAACAACAACAAAACCTGGGGAAAGTCAAATATTCTCCACTAAGAAAGAGCAACTGAGAAGTGGTAAGACTACACGCTGTCAAAGTTGGAAAGCTTGTAAGGTCTGGGAAAACAAGGCTGCCCTATTGAGTTCCTATCCTTATGGGTTTCACTTCTAACTCCTGCCAACACTGTGCAGGATCCACCCCTCATTTTCCTTCTTCCTCTCATCTCTATTTCCTATAAGAGAGGGCTTCAGAAAATTCATAGAAAGATGGAATTTAAAAGTGAGGGAATTTTTCCACAAATTTTTTGAAGCGTGCGCGCACACGCGCGCGCACACACACACACACACACACACACACACACACACACTTTCCTCGGGATACTTTTACCTTCATAAATAAATTCTGAAGTCTCTCCCCAAATACCTTGTCTCCTTTCAACATAGATTTCATCTAATTAACAAAGTATCAATTAACAAAACTGCCTAACTAGATCCTATTGCTTCACTCCCATGTACACAGAAATAATTTTTCATAACCTGGAAAAATCCTACAGATATTGAGGTGATAATTAAAGGAACATTGAATAAGTGATTAATAAACAGGACTCCAGTCTGTTCTGATATCTAACCTCTCCTGAGACTCATTTTTCATATGCAAATTAAGAATGCCAACAAAGAACACTTCCATCTCTCAGTTTTTTCCCCTGGTGACACCACAGGAGGATCCAGACTCTCAGATTTGGGGCCAAATGGTGTAACTTTTCACCTGAGGGGACCTGGGTGTTGCTAAAGGCTAAAGCTTAGGAAAGGGATAGACTTAGACTCCTGCTAAGCTCCGGCTCCTATGGACTCCAATCTAAGTTTTCACTACAAACAGGAATATTGTAGTCATTTGGACCAATCTATTTCATAATTTCTGGAAGAATCATTCACACGGTCATTATTGATACAAGTAGGAATACTCTAGGCATTGCACCATGCAATAGCCTCATTTGGTAAGGTAGAGGGTTGATAAGTATTATTTGACTATCGTCCCCTCCTGCTCACTTATTCATCTATTTCACATAGGTAAGTTAAAAAGCATTGCCCCTAGTAGAGTCCTGGCTCACACCTGCAGAGCTTTATTCCAAACAAAAGTGTGTCAGCAGACCCCTGCAAGCAGTGGAGGGTACAGACAAGTCCTCGAAGAGATGCTTGTCCTGGTCTCACAGCAGGGCACCTTCAAAACAAAAGGTACAAGCAAACCACGGTGTCCCAAGGCACCTGCTGAGCCAGGTAAATTTTAGGTAGAGAGGTCCATGTAGAGAAGGTTATGGTGACCTTCTTTTTTACGCTATTCTGGATAATTTCTCAAACAACACAGAATGATAACAGGGGCTTCTTATAAAGATGTTTCCTTTTGAAAGCATTGAAAACAACACTGCCGAGAAGAAAGCCAGGCAAGTGACACTGAGAAGGTTTTTTGGTTCTTTCCCCATCATGACAGTGCATCTGCTCCTTCTTTGAAGGTAGCAAGGGCTAGCTCATGTGAAATTTGTTAGAAAATGTACCCCATTGCCACTTCAAACTGGGGATTTGGGGTTTTTTTGTTTTGTTTTGTTTTTGGTTGTTGCTGTTTCCAAAATTCAAATAACAGTTAAAAAGAACAATTTGAGTCCCTGAGGATGCTAAAATGGCCACTTTGCCAGGTGTAAACTGAAGGGTGTCGGAGTCTCCAGTGAAAGGCTAGAGAGACGAAAGCCCTGCTCCACGAGTCCATAGACTCAACAGAAGATGTGCTAAGAAACACACCTTTGGTTTCATCCAGATCTGTCTGGCTTTGAAGCAATACTTTTTGACTTATCCTCATGTCAGACCAATAGTTATCTTTGTAATAACTTCATGTATTCCTAAAAGCTTAGAGTACGAATAAAAATTCAAAATTATTTCCCTTATTGTTATAAGTCCTACTATTTCCAGTTAAAGAGTCATGAAATGACTTTGCCTGTTAAAACTCTTCTTAAGAACCAGGCATAACAAATGAAAAAAATATATATGATAAGTTGATGAACACAGTCTGCTTCTTAAGTCTCAAGGACTTAAATGCTTAAATGCTGCCGTACTGAATCCTGACACAGAAAAGGAGATCAACATTCTATAGGCCAAGACACAGAACTCCACATAAACTGGAAAGACATACCTGTGTCTTAAAATTAACATCCACGGGTGCAGACTTTAACAATCAGACAACCTGAGTAGAAAGAGTTTCCTCTCACTCACACGTCTTATGCCAGTCGATAGCCAGCTCTCAATTGTCAACCAAGAGACAGCAACCATTCCTTAAGACTCTCTCTACTAGCTTCGTACTGGCAACAACAACAGAAAAGAAAGCCAGATCATACATCACATTATACATTCCCAAGACTTAAGTGCACCTTACCTTTGCTTACATATATCTCTGATGGATGCTGCTTTCGCGATCAGCTTCTCCCACTGAATCTCCTTCCCCACTGACAGAGAAGGCACATCAGACAGGGCCATGAACCTCTGCAGTTCAGGATAGACACGATCCTAGGATGGAAATTTCACATAAAAAGGTAACTCTCTCCACTTGAGATGAATAATCATTTTCTACTTTTACATAGCATTTTCACCTCCAGTCTTGCACTCACATTGCAAATTAAAATGTATTTCTCCTAAGCAACAGAGAAGAATGCAGTTAAGATGGCCAGGAATTCCATGTCGAGTTCATTTTATATACCAAGAAGAAAGGGGGTAAATTCTCACTCTCGTTACAGCAGCTCTAACCATTTATAGCCAGGCTCCTGTCACTTCCTCATGCAAATGGTCAGAGTAGTTTCAGAAACAGGAACTCACATCGCTATGTTCCTACACTCCACAACTCAGTCAGTGGCAACTGCCTGCATCCCAGACAATGAACCCCGGAATACAATCAGTGATGCTGCTAACTAACAGTGCTAAACCAAAGTGTTCTCACATAAAACGGCAAAACTAGTTTTCCTTAGTGCTACATAGTCACATATTTGAGGCTCACACAAATGCTACTTCCCATTACCTGCTTTTCCCACAAGGATGTCAACAAGCGCAAAGTGACAGCTCTCAGTTGTTGCGTGGTCCCAAGCAGTTGTATTACTCGTAGAATTTGGCCTACGCACACCTAGAAAATAAGCAAAGTGCTCGTGTCATGTAGGTGTAGGCAGGTAACTCTGCAGTGAGCACGAGCATTTTAAAACCCATTACTAGAAGCCTGGACTGACATGGAAGTTTACTGCTTCTGATCTCTGGGAGAAACTAGCTAGCTAGGAATCCTGGGGGTAAGAGTTTAATCTGAGACAAAAGCCAAAGTGAAAACATAGAGAGTAAGTTATAGAAAAGAATTAATTTTTAAATGTATAATGTAACACATCCTTTTGCCTTTACACATTATCACCTCATAAATGTGGCTCAACGAAGAAAGCAATGGTCACTATAAATTAAGGCCTCCAAATTCCATATAACATCAAGCAGAATTCAAAGTATTTGTTCACATCACACTTTATTTTTCCTCAACTAAAATGGCTGGTGCACTAACTTTAGAAGCCCTGGTGATGTAGTAGTTATGCAGTGCGGTCTGCATGGTTGGCAGTTCAAAACCACCAGCAGCTCCACAGGAGAAAGACTGAGCTGTCTAATCCCATAAACAGTTACAGTCTTGGGGGTGGGGAGGGGGTGGTAGTGGGCGATGTCACTATGAGTCAGCATTGATTTCATGGCATTAAGTTTATACTAACCTTGTGAACACCAAGAGTAGGTAACGTATACAAGATATCATTGTATAATACAGGATCCAGAGGTCTTCCTAATTTAAACATCAAAACTGGAATCAGATTTGGAACCTAAAATGAATTTAAAGAACACTACTAATTATGCATTGGTCTAAGAGAAATCAATCTATAAAGCAAACTGAAATTCTTTTTATTCCAAGGTACAGTATAAATATGTATAAATTAGAAGACTTAAGAGAATGTCAAAGCTAATAAAAAAACACTATAGTAGTTTTATAGTACTAGTCATATTCTCTTATATAATCAGTTTCCAAAAACCAATATGTTGTTTTTCATAAGCAACTCGGAAATAAACTCAGGAAAACATGGACTTAGTTAAGGTGTATCTTGCCTCTCCCTAAAATGATAACAGTTCCAACGAGCTGCCAACACTGAAGATATATACACCATAAAATGAACACTACAACATGTAATATTCAATAAGCAATTCAAATAGTCAATGACTAAAACCAGTTTCTTATAAGGGAGGATCAGCAAATATTGCCTTCCATATCCCCAATTCAACCTTTGTGCTTAGCAAAATAAAATGAGAAGGGCAATTAATTCATGAATCAAAAGACCTACTACTGTTATGATGGCAATATTATCCAGATTGATTTATAGATTCAACATAATCACTTTCAAAATCCCAGGTGACTTCTTTGCAAAAGTCAACATCTAATACTAAAATTCATATGAAATGATAAGGAACCCTGAATCCAAACAGTATTGAAAATGAACAAGTTGAAGGACAAACACTTTCCAATTTTAAGTAATTACTGCACAACTACAGCAATCATGAGAGTGAGATACAGGCAAAAGGATAGATTTCTAGACAAACAGTGAAACAGAACTGCGTGTCCATAAGAAACCCTACAGTTACTGTCAGGTGATTCTCAGTGAAACAGAATTGAGTGTCCAGAAGAAACCATTATATTTACGGTCAACTGATTTTCACCAAGGCATTCAAGACCATTCAGTGGGAAAAGACTAGGCTTTTGTACAGTTATTACTGGTATAACTATATAACCACATGAAAAGAATAAAGTTGGGTTCCCTTACTCACCCCGTATATAAAAATGCATCTTAGGCCTAAATGGATAACTAAAATGATGAAGCACGTACAAGACAATATAATGGTAAAATGTCCAAGCCTTATTTTGTTTAACAGTTCTTAGATTTTGAAACAGCCCAAGTTAAAAAAAAGTACAAACAATGGACACCACCGAGAACTGTAACAACTCAATAATAAAAAGGCAGCCCGAACAAAAGGGTCTGAATAAGTGTTTTACCACAGATGATGTACAAATGGGCAAGAAATCATGAAAAAGTGCTCAACATCATTAGCCATGAAATAAATGCAAATTAAAACCACACTGTGATATCTCTTAACGATAGCTAGGATGGCTACAGTAAAAAAAAAAAAAAAAAAAAGACCATTGCAAGTGTTGGCAAGGATGCTGAAAAAGCAAAACCCTCACACAATGTTGTTGGGGATGTGACACGATGCAGCCATTTACTCAAATCGCTACAAACAGCGTCACCATTTGACCCAGCAATTCTACTCCTAGGTATATGTGCAAAAGAAATGAAAACATCCACACAAAAACTTGCTACATGCACTTTCTTCTCAGTAGCCAAAAAGTAGAAACAACTCTCATGTTCAGCAACACACAGTGGGGCATTGTTTGGCCAAAGAAAGGAATGATGTACTGACATGTCATCCCTGAAACAAGAGATCGCCCTGAAATCATCACGCCAAATGAAAGGGACCAGTCACAAAGGACCATGTAAGAGTGCACTTATATAAAATCCAAATTAGGCAAGCCTGTAGAGACAGAAAATAAACTCGTGGTTTCCTGGGGTTGGGGCCCATGTCTCGGTCCTCCTAGAACCTGGGACACTGGAGGAATATGGGAAATGACTGACAGCTCATGGGCGCAGGCTTGGCTTCTGAGGTAGTGAAAACGGTCCCGAACTGACTGTAGTGATGATTGCACAGCTTTGTTAAGTCACTGAATTGAACACTTGAAGTGACCTCTGAATCATATTCCGAAGGTTGCTTAAAAATTCAATTCAAAATAATTTAGAGAAAAAGCTATGAGAAAGGCACTGGATTTGATAGCACCAGATCTGGTGCCATACAATTTTATTTTCCATGTACCCGATCACAGATGGGCTGTCTATTACTTGTTATATTTCCTCTGTGTTAATCATAGAATGTCTGCTCTTTCTAAACTTAGAAGTCATCTACTTTAATTCAATTGCAAGAAGGAAAAAAAACCTTAAAACCTCCTACCAAAGAGTGACAGTTAAACATGAGTTTGTTGATGAGTCTGGCCATGATATACCATGGCAGAATATGGAGCCATGCATGCAATTACTACAGCCTCCCAACAAGCAGCCAGAATGTATGATGTTTTAAGCAATGCCGGGGTTCTATTAGAACAGAAGTTCCATCACCTTGAGCAAATGAAGACACATTTTTGAATTGGTTTCTTAGTTCCCATTTTAATTAAAAACAAAAGCTTATCTTAGATTGCCTTGCAGAGGTCACAATGAATTTCTCTTTCTAGAAAAGATTTCCATAAGGCACTTTGACAGATACGCAGTTCCAGGAGGGCCAGTCAATAAATTTTGTGGCATTTTACAAAACGCTGTATGTGCCAAGTGACTTTCAAATGAATGTTTTAATTATATTGTCTGGAGACCAAAAAAGGACTCTATGCCTGAGAGTACAGTTCTAGGCCGTGTCTCATAGAAGTACATACGTGTCCTAATTTTTCTCGGACCAGTACCAAGAAAAGTAGAAAGTTTTTATAGTAAATCAACTTAGACTGAATGTGGTTCTTGAGACCATTATAGCCCAAATTGAATCCCCAGCTGAACAGAGGAACAGGGGTGGTGGGGAAGAGCAGCAAAGACAGTTGCTTAAGAACACACCTGCCCACACTGCATGTTCTCCAGAAAGTGACCAGGCTGAAAGAGAACGTCTGCTCAGATTTTAACTGAAATTTAAAGTACGTTAGTCAGGACCCTACAATTCACTGTCACAAGACCCTCTGGTTTCATAGAATTTACAGAAAATTGGTGTTTCCCCTTCTCTCCACCAGGGTCCCTCATAAATAACTTGAGAATTGAAGCATTGGTTTTTAAGAGTCAGCAGAACCCTTATTGAATTCATCTCTTTTACAGATGAAGGGTCACAAGTGGATCACAAAATTAGTTGGTAAGAGGGCTGGGAGTCCACTCTCAGCTCACCTCTGCCTCCTGCCTCAACAGGGAGAAGATTCCAGCCCTGCGGGCGCTCTTGGGGAACAATGGGCTGTGAACCAGAAGGAAGAACAAAGAGGCCGCTGACTCAGGTAAAGATGGACCCCCTTGTCATCCTGCATAGGATTGCTAGGAGCTGGATTTGACGAGAGGTTGTTTTATAAAAGGTATAAAGAACTATCATGTAAGTTTTCTCCCCATAATTGGAAAAAAAAAGGAAGGGGCAAGGAAAATAAAAAGACAAGGGCCACTCACACTAGCATCTGTCTGGAGTGAAGCATACAAAGCACAGAATATTAAAATTCAGTTCTGTCTTCCAGGAGAAACATGCATGTTCACAGCACTGTGAGGAGGCACAAAAAATAGCGCAGTCTTTCACCAGGCTCTGTAATGAAAACACGATAGCACGAGTGGTGCTGTCTACATATAAATTATGGGAATATTAAAGGGGGCTTTGCCATTATTCATCTTAATTATATGAGAAGAGATCATATAATTAATATTTATAACTATTCTTCATTTTTTAAAAAGAGTATGAAATGCCTAAAAATAAATTATTGTGAGTAGAAAATAATCAAAGATCCCAGGGAAAAGGAACAAATCAAGACACGACCACCTAATATAAATGAAAGGCAGAGCAATTTTGAGCAATGTTAGTTGCTGAATGTTTGAAAATTACATTTTCTAAAACTAAACCAGAACCACAAAATGTGCCTTCTTGGTTCTTGCTTTATTCATATCCTTAGGCTAAATAAATGTCTAACCATCTTTACATAAGACTTTGTTCTGTGTGTGTTGGTGTGAGGGGTAGGCTTGGGGGGGAGTGGCTGGGGGAGGAGGAACTAAAGTCTACATGCACAAGTGTGTGCCATTAAAAAAAACCAGGGGGAAGAAAACTGTGTGCATTGAGTTAAAAACGAAAGGATAAGGCAATGGGACAAAGAAACACATAGACTCTGGAACATCATTACAAGAAAAATAAACTATATATTCCACAAAAAGCGGCATACTGTACTATTATGCTTTGGAGCATTAGTTAATTCCACCTGCCTCAATAAGTTCACATTTCAACTTGTGGTATTTGCTTACTTTTTAAGTCATCTGTGGGAGAGTAGTCCAATTTAGAAGTGCTAGAAAGTTAACCATTTCCTCCAGTCCTGCGGAATATGCAGGCATGCAGCAACATCAAAACAAAGGTAAACACAGTATAATTTTATTTGCTTGAGGTTCAAATTATAAGTACATGATAACATTATCATCAAATACATTTTCTAGGGTATGCACATTCGCCTTGGAGAATCAAATAGAGTCAAGGAAGAAAAGGATCTAGAATAACTGCTGACCATACAGTTTTCTTTCTATGACAACGTGTCACTCGAGCTTTACTCCAGTTCAGAGCGGCTAATATTAGGGAATACTTCCTAAAAATACTCTGCTAAGCTCCCTTTAGGAAGCTGTGATTATCCACATGTTTTAAATGATGGCACTAAACCTCAGAGAGGCCAAATATGTGCCTGAGGTAACAGACTTAGTACCTGATGTAAAGACTGGACTCGAGCAATCTAACTCTACAGTAGCCCCCCCCCAAAGATAGAGATGACATGGTATTCACCTGTGTGGTCCCCTGCACAACGTAAATGGCTTTAGAACCAATAAATGATTTCTAAGTTACTTAGCTATTCAAAATCGTCAAAATAGATCTGGAATATTTTTTTTTCAATCCTGCAGCTATTTAACTCAGTTAAGTATGAAAAGATTACCCCTGGGGGCAGGGGGGCAGGGGGGATGGGAACTATTGA